AAAAAATTATTTTTAGACACTGATAATTGAGTGACAGGGGCCTTGTCCAATAAATTTTAGTTCTTCATAAACCCAGTGTATGTTCTTTGCACAGAATATTTATAAAAACAGGCCCCAAAGTTGCATACTGTAAGTCATCCACCATTCATTCACAATGTCATAAATTTACAAACATTTATTTGAGTTGATTTGGTTAGGGATGAAGCAAGAGAAGAAGCAGAGATCATTGCCCCATGCTTTTTGTATTATCAGAAGCCCATTAACAACAGCTTATAATACCTGTCACAATTTGTTTTGTTAAGAATTATATGCAAAGAAATATATCATGGTTTTGTCTATGTCGTAGATCCTGAAAACAACCAGGATCGGGAGTGTTTCAAGAAAACTGTTAGAACTGAATCGTACAGGGCAGTGGCCTGAGGGGCTCTCTGGCCCTGTTGAACGCACTGATGTCTGTGCTGTGTGTGGAACACAGCCGGGGCTGTTTGCTGAATGGACCCAGGTGCAGCTCAGAGCAGCAGTGTCAGATTCAGTCAGCATTCACCCATTGGTGTGGGGCCTTTGGTGTCCAACCACTTCTGACAGGTCAGCGGACAGATGGATGACCAGCAAGTAGGGGTAGGGTGAGAGGTAAAATGCATTTCTGAGAACATTTTTGTTCACTCTTTCTGAGTAGTGAAGGGAAGGCATAAAAGGTAACGTTTTCCAGTGGGAATTTATCAGAGAAAGATGGAAATGACTGGAAGGTGTTGTGTTTCCCCTTGTGTTTACCCCATTTTTGTTACTGCTTCATGATGTGTGCGTGCCTTGAAAGAGTAAAAGCCATACTCCCATCACACCCTCTCCATGCAATGATGTTGTCCAGTGCTTGTCATTTTCAAAGTGGTTAATTATGATCCCACTTAAATCAGTGCTGAATATGACACTAAATTTGACAGGAGAAATGTTCAGCCAACATTTGGAGCTTTGAAAACTCAGATCCTAATAGTAAATGTGTTTGCTGTCTTGCAATATTAGCTTGTTCTGAAGACGGTGATGGTCATTCTTAATGACACTCAACGTACCCTTCCAGAATTTCCTGCCATGGAGCAGGAGCTGGTCAATGCTTCTCTTTTTTGGAGAGCCATTTCCACCCTTTTTGTGAACTGGCCCTACTCCAGCAGGCATTACAGTGTGCTCACAGCAGCAGAATGCATCTCTTTGGATTTGTTCCCACTGAAGGGGGGTGAACCTGCCTACCAGTGGCAGGGAGCAGCTGTAAGTCTCCTGAGCATAGTCATAGTGGTTTGGGAAATATCTTAATCTTACTCGCCTACCTTAGGTTATCTCTATACTGATGCATAACTGTCCCTTAGAAAGCAGTTGAAAGGAAGCTTTTAATGATTCATTCTGGCAATGAGTTTGTTTTGCTCCATGATAATTTTTGCAGGATTTGGTGTGGGTTTTTTTTTTTTTGAAGAAAGGCTGCTACCCACTTTTGATGGTAGCTGTAATGTGAACGCATTCCTCTCTAATTGTATTTTGAAAATAAGAAAAAGATTTTAACTCATAAAGAAACTTCTGTGCTGAATAACAAAATAGTTATCCTGAAATATGTTGATTCTAGTTATAAAGTCTCCAGTTTATCGTATTTTACTGTTACAGAGTGAATCCATTTAACTCAGTTGTAAGGCTCTTTCTATCAACTTGAAACCAGATGTTTCAGACACTTATATAATAACTGTTAACTACAGGTGTATTAACTTCCAGGGATGGTCTAAACTTTTGTGTCTATTTATTCTTAAATTCATTCAAATATTACCACAGTTTATATCACAATATTAGAATCATAGAATCACAGATTCATAGAATTGCAGATGTTGGAAGGGACCTTTAAGATCATCAAGTCCAACCATTAACCTGCCCTGACAAAACCACTTCTAAACCATTTCCCTGTGTACCACATCTACCCTTTTTTTAAACACCTCCAGGGATGGCGAATCCACCCCCTCCCTGGGCAGCCTATTCCAATGTTTAATAACCCTTTCAGTGAAAATTTTTTTCCTAATATCGAATCTAAACCTCATCTGACATAACTTGAACCCATTTCCTCTCGTCCTATCACTTGTCACCAGGAAGAAGAGGTCAGCCTCCACCTCTCTACAACCCCCTTTCAGGTAGTTGTAGAGAGTGATAAGGTCTCCCCTCAGTCTCCTCTTCTCCAGGCTAAACAACCCCAGTTCCTTCAGTCATTCCTTATAAGACTTGTCCTCCAGACCCCTCACCAGCTTTGTAGCCCTTCTCTGGACACACTCCAACACCTCAATGTCCTTCTTGCAGTGAGGGGCCCAAAACTGAACACAGTACTCGAGGTGGGGCCTCACCAGTGCCAAGTACAGGGGGATGATCACTTCCCTAGTCCTGCTCACCACACTATTCCTGATACAGGCCAGGATGCCATTGGCCTTCTTGGCCACCTGGGCACACTGCCGGCTCATATTCAGCCGGCCATCCACCAACACCCCCAGGTCCTTTTCTGCTGGACAGCTTTTGAGCCACTCTTCCCCAAGCCTGTAGAGCTGCATGGGGTTGTTGTGACCCCAGGACAGCACCCGGCACTTGGCCTTGTTGAATCTCATACCATTGGCCTCCGCACCTC